CAGACATGCAGAGATGCGATTCGCCACCTGGTTATCAGAAGGGGGAAAGGAGAAGATTAGTTGTGTATCGTCAGCGTAGCAATGATAGGAGAGGCCATGTGAGGATATGACAGAGCCAAGTGACTTGGTGTATAGGGAGAATAGGAGAGGGCCTAGAACTGAGCCCTGGGGGACACCAGTGGTGAGAGCACGTGGTGCGGAGACAGCTTCTCGCCACGCCACTTGGTAGGAGCGACCGGTCAGGTAGGACACAATCCAGGAGTGAGCCGCGCCGGAGATGCCCAGCTCGGAGAGGGTGGAGAGGAGGATCTGATGGTTCACAGTATCAAAGGCAGCAGACAGGTCTAGAAGGACAAGAGCAGAGGAGAGAGAGTTAGCTTTAGCAGTGCGGAGAGCCTCCGTGACACAGAGAAGAGCAGTCTCAGTTGAATGACCAGTCCTGAAACCTGACTGGTTTGGATCAAGAAGGTCATTCTGAGAGAGATAGCAAGAGAGTTGGCTAAAGACGGCACGCTCAATAGTTTTGGAAAGAAAAGAAAGAAGGGATACTGGTCTGTAGTTGTTGACATCAGTGGGATCGAGTGTTGGTTTTTTGAGAAGGGGTGCAACTCTCGCTCTCTTGAAGACGGAAGGGACATGGCCAGCGGTCAAGGATGAGTTGATCAGCGAGGTGAGGTAGGGGAGAAGGTCACCGGAGATGGTCTGGAGAAGAGAGGAGGGGATGGGGTCAAGCGGGCAGGTTGTTGGGCGGCCTGCAGTCACAAGTCGCAGGATTTTATCTGGAGAGAGAGGGGAGAAAGAAGTCAAAGCATAGGGTAGGGCAGTGTGAGTAGGACCAGCAGTGTCATTAGACTTAACAAACGAGGATCGGATGTCGTCAACCTTCTTTTCAAAGTGGTTGACGAAGTCATCCACAGAGAGAGAGGAGGGGGGGGGGGGGGGGGGGGGATTCAGGAGGGAGGAAAATGTGGCAAAGAGCTTCCTAGGGTTAGAGGCAGATGCTTGGAATTTAGAGTGGTAGAAAGTGGCCTTAGCAGCAGAAACAGATGAAGAAAATGTAGAGAGGAGGGAGTGAAAAGATGCCAGGTCGGCAGGGAGTTTAGTTTTCTTCCATTTCCGCTCCGCTGCCCGGAGCTCTGTTCTGTGAGCTCGCAATGAGTCATCAAGCCACGGAGCTGGAGGGGAGGACCGAGCCGGCCGGGAGGATAGGGGACAAAGAGAGTCAAAGGATGCAGAAAGGGAGGAGAGGAGGGTTGAGGAGGCAGAATCAGGAGATTGGAGGGAGAAGGATTGAGCAGAGGGAAGAGATGATAGGATGGAAGAGGAGAGAGTAGTGGGAGAGAGAGAGCGAAGGTTGCGGCGGCGCATTACCATCTGTGTAGGGGCAGAGTGAGTAGTGTTGGAGGAGAGCGAGAGAGAAAAGGAAACAAAGTAGTGGTCGGAGACATGGAGGGGAGTTGCAGTGAGATTAGTAGAAGAGCAGCATCTAGTAAAGATGAGGTCAAGCGTATTGCCTGCCTTGTGAGTAGGGGGGGACGGTGAGAGGGTGAGGTCAAAAGAGGAGAGGAGTGGAAAGAAGGAGGCAGAGAGAAATGAGTCAAATGTGGACGTAGGGAGGTTGAAATCCCCCAAAACTGTGAGGGGTGAGCCATCCTCAGGAAAGGAATTTATCAAGGCGTCAAGCTCATTGATGAACTCTCCAAGGGAACCTGGAGGGCGATAGATGACAAGGATATTAAGCTTAAATGGGCTAGTGACTGTGACAGCATGGAATTCAAATGAGGAGATAGACAGATGGGTTAGGGGAAAAATTGAGAATGACCACTTGGGAGAGATGAGGATTCCTGTGCCACTACCCCTCTGACCAGATGCTCTCGGGGTATGCGAGAACACATGGTCAGACGACACACTACGCCGTCATGGATTAAAATCATGCAGCGCATGCAAGTTCCCCCTGCTCAAGCCAGCGCATGTCCAGGCCCGTCTGAAGTTTGCCAATGACCATCTGGATGATCCAGAGGAGGAATGGGAGAAGGTCATGTGGTCTGATGAGACAAAAATAGGTTTTTGGTCTAAACTCCACTCGCCGTGTTTGGAGGAAGAAGAAGGATGAGTACAACCCCAAGAACACCATCCCAACTGTGAAGCATGGAGGTGGAAACATCATTCTTTGGGGATGCTTTTCTGCAAAGGGGACAGGACGACTGCACCATATTGAGGGGAGGATGGATGGGGCCATGTATCGCAAGATCTTGGCCAACAACCTCCTTCCCTCAGTAAGAGCATTGAAGATGGGTCGTGGCTGGGTCTTCCAGCATGACAATGACCCGAAACACACAGCCAGGGCAACTAAGGAGTGGCTCCGTAAGAAGCATCTCAAGGTCCTGGAGTGGCCTAGCCAGTCTCCAGACCTGAACCCAATAGAAAATATTTGGAGGGAGCTGAAAGTCCGTATTGCATAGCGACAGCCCCGAAACCTGAAGGATCTGGAGAAGGTCTGTATGGAGGAGTGGGCCAAAATCCCTGCTGCAGTGTGTGCAAACCTGGTCAAGACCTACAGGAAACGTATGACCTCTGTAATTGCAAACAAAGGTTTCTGTACCAAATATTAAGTTCTGCTTTTCTGATGTATCAAATACTTATATCATGCAATAAAATGCAAATTAATTACTTAAAAATCATACAATGTGATTTTCTGGATTTTTGTTTTAGATTCTGTCTCTCACAGTTGAAGTGTACCTATGATAAAAATTACAGACCTCTACATGCTTTGTAAGTAGGAAAACCTGCAAAATCGGCAGTGTATCAAATACTTGTTCTCCCCACTGTATATATATATATATATACATACACATACATACATATACGCATATACATACATACATACATATATACATACACATCCTTTAAATATATATATATATTTCCCTTTATTACTTTCCAACCCCACCATCCCTTCCCTAATTGGAGTAAACTAGTGAACAACAATGCTTAGGCCTCTACTTCATACTTATACATACTATATACATTTTATGGACCCAGTCAATAATTATATTTTGTTTGTTTTTACCCCTGAACTTCCTCCGATCATTTTCATGATGTCCATCTGGTATGCTTCTATATGCCATATCTTTCTAACTGTGCTCTTTCACAAAAGCTCACAATATATAACCTATATACTTATTATGGACACAGCATGTCTTACACTAGTTATCTTGTTGTTATTAGTTGTTGTTATTAGTCCCATCCTTCAGCTCCATTCAACACCTCCCATCTATCTCTTAACACCATCCATATTGGATTTCTATTTGCCATATATTTTTCAACTGTACTGTGTTTTTTACAAAAGTTCTGAACCTTTCTATTCTCATTGTTTCTACAGATTGTGAATTGAAAATAAACATTTTTGCTAAAAGTATTATTATATTATTGATCGATTGACTATGACTTTTCAGATCACCCAGTTAGTGCTATCTGCAGGGTCAGCTCCATGCAAATATTGCAATCCTTCAGCCATTCCTGGACCTGTGTCCAGAAACAAGCTACAAATGGACAGTACCAAAACAAATGATCTAATGATTCTGTCTCTTCACAGCCATATCTGTAGAGCTGGGAAGATTGTATCCCCCATACAAATAACATTCTATTGGTAGCAATAATTTTTTAATCCGGCGTCGTTTTCCGTATCAGTTCATAAACACTATGCCATGGAATCGGTACGTCAAAAATCTCTTCCCAACTATTTTGCAATCTATATGGGACGGCTGTCAATCTTTTGGTCCTTAAATGAAACTGGTAAACTTTTTTATTTATCACAATTTTCTTTAACCAATTATGTTCTTTAATGCTAGGCCGACAGACAAATTCCTTACTTTTTCCTCCTTCCACTTTCCTCTTCCATTTTTGCGGTAATGCTGCAATTATTTGGTTGTAATTTTGGGTAGAGCAGACATTTCCATATGTTTTTGTTAGCTGCATGTGTGACATAACTCCACCATTCCTACCGATAATATCATTTACGAAGATTATACCTTTTTTAAACATTTTCTCAAAAAAGAACGGTTTTTTATCAATTAGTATATTTGAGTTTAACGACAATATTTGTTGCAATATTTGTTCTGTCATTTCTGGAGGATTAAATTGAAATTGCAACCAACTTTCTATGGCTTGTTTTAGAAATAGTGATATTTGGGAGATTATTTCCTTTTCAAATACCTGAAAGTGAGGGGTTGTAATCCGAATAAAGGGAAAAAGTCCCTTCTTGAACATTGGGTGAGACAATCTTACTAGTTTGCTAGAGAACCGTACACATTGTTATTGTAACCCTGGACAAGCACACCTGATTCAACTTATCAACTAATCATCAAGCCCTCAATGAGTTGAATGAGGTGTGTTTGTCAAGGGCTACAACGAAACTGTGTACTGTTGGGGGTAATGGAGGACCAGAGTTGCGAAACACTGTGTTAGATCATAAGTGAGGATTGACATGGAAAATGGACTGTTATAAAATGTAATGTCTGTTTCCATGAAAAAGTTATCTCAACCCTAAAAAGTGAAGCAATATCTTTAAAAAGTGTGATGCACAAATTCACTGAAATTAAGAAAATGAATCCAGTGGCTTCATTCATACATCTATTAAACTAACTCAGCTAAAAGCTTCTTACAGGACTTTCCTTCAGATTGATCTTCCTCCATCTGTCAACCTCCTTCCCTCATCCCTTTCTCTCTATCCCTCCTCTCTCCCTCATCCCTTTCTCTCCATCCCTCCTCTCTCTCTCATCCCTTCTCTATCTCCTCCCTCTCCACTCCTCTCTATCCCCCTCTCTCCAGCCCATCCTCTCTATCCATCCTCTCTCCTCACCACTTTCTCTCTACTCATCCTCTCCTATCATCTCCTCTCTCCCTCATCCCTTTCTCTCTATACCTCGTCTCTCCCTCATCCCTTTCTCTCTATCCCTCCTCTCTCCCTCCTCCATTTCTCTCTATACCTCCTCTCTTCCTCATCCCTTTCTCTGCATCCCTCCTCTCTCCCTCCTCCCTTTCTTTTTATACCTCCTCTCTCCCTCATCCCTTCCTCTGTATCCCTCCTCTCTCCCGCATCCTTTCCTCGAGAAAAATCCGCGTCCCTCATCCCCTTTCTCTGTATCATCCTCTCGTCCCTCATCCCGTTCTATACGCCTCCTCCCCCCTCTCCTCTCTATCCCCTCTCTCCCTCCTCTCTTTCTCTCTTTCTCTCTATCCCTCCTCTCTCGTTCCTCCATGTCTCTCCCTGTCCCTGTCCCCCTGCCATACAGTAACACCCATGGGTCTGCCTCCCCCGTCTCTCTAAGGCTTTATCTCTCCTAGGTGTACTGGGCTGTGTGTGGTGACAGCTGTCTGTCCTGTGTTTCCATCATCATTATATAACCCATCAGACAACATCAACACCCAGAGACAGACACTCGTTCATCAGATATCCTACACTGTGGCCCATTCCCTCTTCCTAGTCTTAGGATGAAAAACATACAGTATTGTAGCTACTGTACTTGCTGGTTTCCCATTTGTTCCATTGTTACTGTTGTATCAATAAGACTGTAAACCCAGACTATGATTGTCTGGCAGATGTGGTGTGCTGAGGATGACATCCGGATGATAATCTAACAAACCAGAGTCTAATTCACAGTCAAAGGACTGTTCCCTCTCCATATCTGGGTACACTCTGGGTTTCCTTCCATCACAGAAGGCTGCAGATACAGTAAATGTGTTAAAGCCAGGAGAAGCAATGGACACGGTACATGCATGCTAATGATATTAGCACAACTGCTGATAAAACTAGCATGATAAATGCTACTGCCATTACTACAGACAGTAATACCTGCTGACTGCTACCTAAGCTCCCACTGTCACACTGCTAACACTACCACTACTGTTGCAATTACTAGTGCTTTTACTACTACTAGGACAGAACCAGGACATCCTATCCAACTACATGCCCATCTCCAACCTTCCCTTCCTATCAAAAGTACTGGAGAAAGTGGTTGCATACCAGCTTCAATCGCATCTGTCATCTAATCAGTTGTACAAGGTTTTCCAGTCTGCACAGCACCAAAACAGCTCTGGTTGAAGTTCATAACGACATACTGATGGCTGCTGATTCTGGATCTCCCAGCATCCTCCTCCTCTTAGATCTCAGTTCTGCTTTTGACACCGTAGAACACATCTTCCTCCTGCAGTGTCTCAGTGAGCAAACTGCTGTCTCTGGAACAGCTCTGAACTGGTTCTCCTCCTGCCTCTCCAATAAGAGGCAATACATCACTATTGGAGAGTCCAGATCGGAGGAGTCTGCAGTCACATGCGGTGTCCCACAGGGGTCAGTGCTCGGGCCTATCCTGTTTTTAATTTACATGCTCCCTCTCGGACATCAACTTCCACTGCTACGCTGATGATCCCCAGGTCTACATTAACACCAAATAATCTCTGCGCTGGCAAAACTCAGCAGTTGCCTAAAGGACATCAGGGCATGGATGAAAGAGATCTTCCTCCAGTTGAACAGTAGTAAGACTGAGGCTATGCTTATTGGGACACCCAAGCAGGTCACTAGTGCTGGAAACATCTGCCCTACAATCAACGGCCAGGCCATCTACCTGTCCTCTGTCATCTCCAACCTAGGAGTCAAGTTTGATTCTTCTCTGTCCTTCGTTGCCCACACAAAAAATATTTAAAACATTATTTTTCATCCTAAAAACATTGCCCGGGTCATACCATCACTCTCCCAGCCAGATGCAGAGAAACTCATTCACGCCTTCCTCTTCTCTCGGATCGATGCACTGTTTGGGGGCCTCACAGCCAAATCACTACAGAGGCTCCAACTAATCCAGAACAGTGCTTCCAGGGTCCTGACCAGGACCAATAAGTCAGACCACATCACCCCGATCCTGGCCCAACACCACTGGCTACCGGTCAACTACAGGATTGACTTCAAAATGTCATGCTTGTATTTAAAGCCTTGAATGGACTGAGCCACACCTACATCAGCGACCTCATTTCAATCAGCGAGCCACCTCGCACTCTCCACTCCAGCCACTCCCTACTGCTTCAAGTACTGCTGGTACTTTTACCACTACTATTACCACTTGTAGGATTACATCCACAACTACAGTACAACAACTGTTAACTGCTTACAGTACACCTCAGGCCATGAATGACTCAAACTCCAATGGTGCTCCAGGACACAAAGGATGAGAAACATATTGCAGATGTTGAACTAATTGACAGCTTTGATGCAAATCTGTCATGTTAATTTCAATTAAACAAAATTCTCATACACACACATACACACATGCACGCAAACACACACGTATGCACAAACACACACATACTCACACAGTGTCATAACTCACAGAAAGCATCAAACTTAGACAGACAGCATTCAACCAGAAACCATAAAGTCAAAACACGCACATATAAATACCACCACTATCCCAAAGATATCTAACAGTGCATTAAAGCTATAAAACAGTGCATTAAATTAAACTACACAACATAATTACGTTTGGAGTCCTTGACAGTTTTCAAAGCAGACTGTAGTCTTTCCAACATGGCTCTTTGAATAACATACGTAGCACAAAAAATCCTGAATTCCAACAAAACAGCCTGGAGATGCTTAGATGTAAATGGATGGGAGTCAGATCAATAAAAAAAACTATTAACTAAAACATGTCCCTGCTGTTGCTCTGGTTCAGTGTAGCGTCTCACTAAAGCAATTCAGAGAGAGAGAGAGAGAGAGATGGAGAGCGAGAGAGAGGAGAGAGAAAGAGAGAGTGAGAGAGGGAAGGGGGGGGGGGGAATTTTAATCTTTAGAGAAACCAGACTGAATCCTTTCACTGCAGAGAGAAGGGGTGTAGAGAGAAAGAGAGGGAGAGTGCGGTATATAGAAAAGGATAGATTATGGAAGAGAGAGAGAGAGAGAGTGAGGGAGATGGAGACTATAGTTATTGAGGTAAGACAGAGGTGAAATACGGGTGAGAGAGGATAATGGAGAGAGACATTCTTTGTCCTGTTGAGACGAGAACACCAAGGATTTACAACCTTAATCTTGCTATGACAACTTTAATGTATGTTAGCTTTGCCCATAAAGCAAATTGAACTGCATTAGAATTGAACGGTCAGAGGGGCAAATACAAAGAGAGGGGAAACAGGAGGATAAATAATCACATCCCACTAGGCACACACTGGTCGACTCAAAGTTGTTTCCACAACATTTAAATGAAATTACATTGAACCAACGTGGAATAGACGTTGAATGGACGTCTGTGCCCAGTGGGATGGAATGGATGGTATACTGTATTTCATTAATGCCCTCTAGCTAATAGTTAAACAGGTGGGATGTTTTCCCCCTTCACAGCCGTAATGAGAACACAAACTAGCTTAATTGTGCTGTTACAGGTGTAGGATCTTAATTTGATCACTTATGTTGCTGAGAATTTTGCACCGCAGGAAATGCAGATGAGCTTCACGATTTACATAAATTCACTGATAACCCACACTAACACACGGTTTTATTAACAGTATTGCACTTTTCATGTAGCCTACTTTTTTGTAGCCTACTTTTGTCCAGCTAATAGCCTAAGCACCGATCAAGCAACTTTATGGACTAAACGTTCAAATCCTGTTGCTGCAGGATTATTTTGCTGTCACAATATAGGTCAAATTAAGATCCTACATCTGTAACGTGCAGTATACTGTAGTGTTACAGCAGGATTAGGACTGTATCGGTGTAAAGCAGCGTGTTATCATCAAAAGGTTATTCTGTTGGAGGCAAATGGAGCTGACAGGCTGATTTAGATAAGAGCACTGACACATATAAACCTGTGTGGCTTAGCTCCTAATAGCCCTGTGGCATGGGGCTTCACGCTGGATAATCTCACTATTGATTCCATTGATTGTCACGAGGGCTAGCGTATACAGTACACATGCGAATCCCACACACATACACTACCGTCAAAAGTTTTAGAACACCTACTCATTCAAGGGTTTTCCTTAATTTTTACAATTTTCTACATTGTAGAATAATAGTCAAGACATCAAAATATGAAATAACACATATGGAATCATGTAGTAACCCAAAAAAGTGTTAAACAAATAAAAATATATTTTATATTTGAGATTCTTCAAATAGCCACCCTTTGCTTTAATGACAGCTTTGCACACTCTTGGCATTCTCTCAAGCAGCTTCATGAGGTAGTCACCTGGAATGCATTTCTATTAACAGGTGGCTTTTTGAAGAATCTCAAATATAAAATATATTTTGATTTGTTTAACACTTTTTTGGTTACTACATGATTCCATATGTGTTATTTCATAGTTGTGATGTCTTGACTATTATTCTACAATGTAGAAAATTGTAAAAATAAAGAAAACCCTTGAATGAGTAAGTGTTCTAAAACTTTTGACTGGTAGTGTACATATTCATCAAATGCACTTGAACACGTGCACCACCACACAAAATATTACACCCTATAACAACAATTTAACACTTCAACACACACACACACACAAACACTAGGAAGGAAGCAGCATAACAAGATCCTGATAGAGACCTATATCCATCCTACCCTGCCTTTCCGAAAGTTTTTGAAAGCCAAGTTAACAAACAGATCACCGATCATTTCGAATCACACCGTACCTTCTCCGCTATGCAATCCGGTTTCCGAGCTGGTCATGGGTGCACCTCAGCCACGCTCAAGGTCCTAAACGATATTATAACCGCAATCGATAATAGACAGTACTGTGCAGCCGTTTTCATCGACCTGGCCAAGGCTTTTGACTCTGTCAACCATCGCATTCTTATTGGCAGACTAAATAGCCTTGGTTTCTCAAATGACTGCCTTGCCTGGTTCACCAACTACTTCTCAGATAGAGTTCAATGTGTCAAATCGGAGGGCCTGTTATCTGGACCTATGGCGGTCTCTATGGGGGTGCCACAGGGTTCAATTCTTGGGCCGACTCTTTTCTCTGTGTATATCAATGATGTCGCTCTTGCTGCTGGTGACTCTCAGATCCACCTCTACGCAGACGACACCATTTTGTATACATCTGGCCCTTCATTGGACACTGTGTTAACAAACCTCCAAACGAGCTTCAATGCCATACAACACTCCTTCCGTAGCCTCCAACTGCTCTTAAACACTAGTAAAACTAAATGCATGCTCTTCAATCGAACGCTGCTGGCACCCGCCCACCCGACTAGAATCACTACTCTCGACGGGTCTGACCTAGAGTATGTGGACAACTACAAATACTTAGGTGTCTGGTAAGACTGTAAACTCTCCTTCCAGACTCGCATTAAGTATCTCCAATCCAAAGTTAAATCTAGAATCGGCTTCCTATTTCGCAAACAAAGCCTCCTTCACTCATGCTGCTAAACATGCCCTCGTAAAACTGACTATCCAACTATCCTTGACTTTGGCGATGTCATTTACAAAATAGCTTCCAACACTCTACTCAGCAAATTGGATGTAGTCTATCACAGTGCCATCCGTTTTGTCACCAAAGCCCCATATACTACCCACCACTGTGACCTGTACGCTCTTGTTGGCTGGTCCTCACTACATATTCATCACCAAATCCACTGGCTCCAGGCCATCTATAAATCACTGCTAGGCAAATCCCCGCCTTTCCTTAGCTCATTGGTCACCATAGCAACACCCACCCATAGTATGCGCTCCAGCAGGTATATGTCACTGGTCATCCCCAAAGCCAACACCTCCTTCGGCCGCCATTCCTTCCAGTTCTCTGCTGCCAATGACTGGAACGAACTGTAAAAATCTCTGAAGCTGGAGACTCTTATCTCCCTCACTAACTTTAAGCATCAGTTGTCAGAGCACCTTACCGATCACTGCACCTGTACACAGCCCATCTGAAATTAGCCCACCCAACTACCTCATCCCCATATTGTTATTTATTTTGCTCATTTGCACCCCAGTATCTCTATTTGCACATCATCTCTTGCATCATTCCAGTGTTAATACTAATTGTAATTATTTTGCACTATGGCCTATTTATTGCCTTACCTCCATAACTTGCTACATTTGCACACACTGTATATATATTTTCGGTTGTATTTTTGACTTTATGTTTTGTTTTACCCCATATGTAACTCTGTGTTGTTGTTTTTATCGCACTGCTTTGCTTTATCTTGGCCAGGTCACAGTTGTAAATGAGAACTTGTTCTCAACTGGCTTACCTGGTTAAATAAAGGTGAAATAAAATAAATAAATAAAAATCCCAGCTTTAGCATAATGGGGAAGGGAAGGGAAATGGGATAAATGCAGTGCAATAAATGCTGTCATTGGACTGTTTTTGTGTTTTATGACTCCATAGTATCTGGAGCGCTGGCTGAAACACTAAAAAGATCATGAGCAATGCGCAGGATGATGTCATCATGGGCAGGGGGGGGTCTGTCTTTAAGTGACAGAGACCTATGACTCATCATCATGACTCAGTGACTGTCATGCAGCCATAATCATTTATTCATCAAACTACAGAACAGTATGTCCAGTTAGGAAGCCTTTCTCTTCATGCGAAACGCCAACTTTTCACTGGGTGATGACTGCCGTTGACATTTGTTGGGGACAAGATAAGGGATTTGGTCTAAAAAGTTATGCTTCCTATTTTCTGCAGTAACTCTAATATAATACCTCACGACTTTCAAGCGAGGGAAAGCGAAAGTCATCAATCCAATCAATAAGAAGATGTAAAATGAAATGTGCTCTGCTACAAATCAATTAGTTCTCACCTTTCCCCTTCTCTACATCATGTGAAGCGATGACAAATCCGAACCCCTCTCCCGGCTTCCTTCTCAGCTCCACGTCGAACCCCCGGGGCACACGGTTCCGTCCCAATCCCTCCTGCCCTGGTCCTGGGACCACCACCCCCCTGTCCACCTCATACGTCATGCCTGCGTTCAGCCAGTCTTTGGGCTCCATGGGGAGGGTGACTGGGACTGACTCCAGGAAACTGGTGCTCTGGACCAGAGAGGAGCGCACCATGGCTGGGGGAGGGGGAGGAGGGGTGGAGGTGGGACGGGGTGGGATCAGGACTTCTGCAGGGGGCGACAGGTTCTTGTCTGAGGCCACAGGTGAAGGAGGGGGGCGAAGGAGTGGTGAAGGGCCTCTCCGCATAGAGTTGGGGGAGACGGAAGAATGGTGGGAACCTGAAGAAGGGGAATAACATCACTAAAGACACATATTTTTTTTTTAGGTTTTATTCATCACTGAGAAACAGTGTAATGAATACAGTAAATAAAAACTCCTAAAAACACGTTTGCAGGAAAGTAGCTAATGTTCTTACCACCTCTGTGAACCAATAGGATAACTTCTCCTTGTTTGGTGTATTCCTGGAGAACTCGTTGTATCTGGAGGGAAAACCAGAAGGAAAAGTATCACTTTAGTATCTCTGATTTAACTTTCCCTAAACGTATGTATTCTCCATCTCTTTCCTTATCTTCTTTCTCTCCTCTTTTCCCTCCTCAGTACCTGTGCAAAGCTGAGACTCTGGACGTCTGCTCCGTTGATCTTCATGATGGCGTCCCCTGGCTGTAGGGAGGAGCACTGCCTCCTATCCCAGACCCTCTTGACCAGGGCCAGCCTGCCTCCCTGTCCCCCGGCCGTCACACTGAAGCCCATACCTCCTCCCCCCTCACACTGAGCCAGGGCCACAGGCACCAGCTCCCCTCCACCTCCAACCCCAACTCCTTCGACCCCAACTCCGCTGCACAGGCTCATCACCCCCGGAGACGATATGCTGCTGGGGCTGCCACTGCCACTGGTGTTGCCATGGAAGCCGTTGAAGCCGATTTGTGGGCTGTCGGGGGTGGGAGGGGGTCTCAGCAGAGAAGCCTGGGGCCTGATGAGGCGGGAGTACGCCCCCCCGCCTGGGGAGGTTGAAAGACGGGGTCTCTCTGACTGGGGCATGGGCAGTCTGGACACAGGGAGTGTGGAGGAGGTGGACAGGTCGGTGTTTGACAGGTCACTCTTAGAGGTTCTGTAGCGCAGGGGCTGGGGGGGGGTAGAGAGGGAGTTATTGTTGTGGTTACGGATCATGGATGCCCTGCAGAGGAAGAAAAGAGACAGAAAGATAGTCACTGTTCTCCATGAGAGATAAACAGCTGTAAATTACATTTTGTGTGTGTGTGTGTGTGTCACCTGTGTGAGCCGAAGGCTGAGACCACCTCACTGTCACTCTGGGAGTTATCAGGGGCCTGCAGGTGGGCGAGACCCCTCAGGGAGCGGGGTGGGCGGACCGGGGGGATGGAGAGAGTGATGCTGCCACTGGAACCTCTATAAGATGGTGGTGTAGGGGAGGTGGATTCAGATAGGTGGCGCCTGGATCGTCTGTATGAGATTGGCTCAGCGGAGTGAGCAGGATGCCCACTAGACCGTCTGTACGAGGGTGAATCATAGGCAGTGGAGTCAGAGCGATGTCCACTGGATCTTCTATAAGAGGGTGGTGTAGGGGCCGTGGAGTGAGCAAGGTTTCCGCTGGAGCGTCTGTAAGAGGGTGGCGGTCGGGTAGCTGTGGAGGTGGCATTCCCATTGGCATCCAGTCCCGGCCCCACTCCTGGTCCCATATAACCCACGTCATGGTGGTGAGAAAGGACCCCATTGAGATTAAGATACTGGGTCTGGGTTGGGGCTGTGGATGGGCGTGGGAGGCGCTGGTGTAAGGGCTGGGGCTGGGTGGTGGTAGGTGGGAGGAGGGGGTCACAGACATCAGTTGACCCAGGATGGGGCTGCTTGAGGCAGCCGTCTGGGTTGTAGAGCATGGGATAGCCCCTCCGGAGGACCACGTCCACACTGTGGCCCACAGGCACTGCCTTCAGCATCTCCACCACCTCTTTATGAGACGTTCCCAGGACACAGACGTCATTGATGTACACCAGGATATCCGCTGTGGGGACAGAGAGGATGGGTTGAAAGGGTTCTGGTTCAGTTATCCCACAGCATTAGTATACCTTTAAAACCTACATACAGAACATCACATCATCTATTTGCAAATTGTTTGAGGGACATTGTAGTTCTAGTTCATAAATGCTATGCTATCTTTGTGTGGGTGTGTGTGAAATGTAACCATACCAACTAATCCCTCTACTATTACACAATATATTAACTGTATCCCACCCTTCTAAAATGCTCAACTCTGGGTGCTTGTGACAGGTTTCACAGTCTGTATTAGTGGGTGTTAGTGTGTGTTAGTGTCTATTAGTGGGTGTTAGTGTCTATTAGTGTGTGTTAGTGGGTGTTAGTGAGTGTTAGTGTGCACATACAGTATGCACGTGTGTTGCTGGATGTGATGATACCTAGATTATGGCATGCATGCCATTAGGATTAGGGATTGATTGCGATCTACTCTCTGTGAGAGATCACGTTTTGTAATGACGAAGAGAGAGCGAGAGAGAGAGACGAAGGAAGAGAGAGCAGAGATAGCGAGAGATAGAAGAGAGATGAGAGACGAGAGAGATAGAGAGAGATACCACGAGAAAAATGAGAGATGAGAGTAGAGAGAGAGAGAGAGAGAGAGAAGAAGAGAGAGGAGAGAGGAGAGAGAGAGAGAGAGAGAGAGCTTATCTGGTAGTTATGAGCACGCGCTACAGTATAATACCAACTATAGTCACATGCTTTTTACAGTATTACAGTACTAAATATAGCATTTACATTCAAGTGAGTATCGTAACAACAACAACAACAACAATGTGATTCTGTGGACTGACATATCTGAGTTTAGTTACAAAGAGAGATAGAATATTCTCCAACTGCCTAAACAAGACACATTTAAACCAGGTTAAAAAACACAGACGCAGGTCAAATACAGTGAGGAGAGAGAGTTTACAGGAGTCCATTTTCACAGTCTGCAAGTATTCAACAGTGTGTAGCTAATAGCTTTTTAAAAAAAAATTTTTTTTATTGCCAATAAATATAGAGCTTTACAAAACATCCGGCTTTAACGCTCAATAATCCACAGTTCAATCTGTCACAAACATAAGGCCAAGACTAATTTCTGTTTAATTGACAATGACATTTACGAGGAATATACTGTAATGTCAACATTGGCAAAGTTCTGATACCCTAAAGAAGCTAAATCTAACATATTCCTAGGAAAGACTATTAAAGACTTTGAAAATGCATTTTTGCTGTTTCAAATCACCTTCTCAATACATTTACAAGTGTAAAACTTTTCTATAATAAAAATAATCTCTTGGTATATTGTCCCCTCCCTCCCTCCCTCCTACCTGTGTTGAGAGTTCCAGGTCCCCCTGGCGTGACACTGTAGACCTGAAGGAACTCCCTGGCTCTGCTGCCCCCCACGATGTTGAAACCAAACCCTCTGGGACCTTTAGAGAGGCACGTGTGGATAAAGAAACCCCTCAGCTCCCCTGGCTGGTCTGTGAACCCTGGTACTGAGAAAACGAGATGGAGGGATGGAAAGAGAGGGGGAAAAGATACGGAAAGGAGTGAAAAGGGAAAAGAAACAAAGAGAGAGATGCTTACAACAGAGAGGGAGAGAGACAAAGATGTTTGTGCAATTGGAAGGTAAAGAGGAAATAAAGGTCACCATGAAGAGGTTGAGAGAACGACAGAGAGAGACAGAGAGAGAGGTTGCACCCTGTGTGTGTGAATGAGTGAACTGCTTAGAATGTGCTGTTCAGAGCTGAGTTAAGAGACGCACAACACTGCAAACTCATGGCCAGATGGCACTTAGTGCAAAACGTTTAGAAATAAATAGACATGCAGACAAAGTTTTTTTCCTCCCTGTCATAATGGCCCACAGAGAAGATTCAAGCCCCTTGAAAAGGAAATAAACTCTCTGCCTGATCTGTATCACCTCCTGCTGGTTAAAACAGTGTAATGCAACCCACTAAGATTCCGACCAGCTTTACACATGATATTATGGCAGATGGGGCTCTAATTTCTATAATCAGCTATATTGGTCAAACGTTGTTGTATTAGGGTTGTTTTATCTGTGAATCACATGACACAATTATGATAGAAGGTTGTCAGTGTCATGCCCAACACATGGCCTCTGTCATCCACAGCAGAACAGACCTGTGCCAGTGGTTCCTCCTGGCTTGCTGTTATGGGGTTAGGGATTAATCACTACACAGTATCTCAATTCTACTAAAAGCTCATTTCATTTCATTTGAATCTATTAACAGGCTCACTGTGCCTATGGTCCTATAGTTCTCGTCTTATTAACATACAGTGCATTAGGCAGTCCAATGGTTAAAAGCTCCAGTACTGTTTCCATAATTATAGAGTGGGAGAGAGCTCACATTCATTCTTGTCAAGCGTCGTCTCTCTGCTGCTCTGAGCACGAGGATCCTGCCAGCTGGTCGTCTTGGAGTAATGGCTAAAAGAGAGTGACAGACAGGCCACCTCAAAGTCACCAATCAACCACCACCATGGTGATGCTATATAACAGTATTTACAAGTCAACACCTTTAAGATACAGAGGAAACTAATCCTGGACCAGAAACAAACCAAAACATTCAAGACAGCAGTCTATCCACACAGAATAGAACAGAACAGAACAGAATAGAACAGAATAGAATAGAATAGAACAGTCACTTTCTTTTTTCTTTCTTTCTGTAAAGTGTGTTGTGACCTTGTTAAATGCACTTTGAATAAATTGTGATTTGATTAACTCACTCTATGTAGAAAGGCTCTCCTGAGTTGCTGAAGGCCTCCTCCCAGTTTTTAGGCATCACTGCTGGCACCCTGGCACTGGTGCTGCCATGGCCGTTCTCCATGGCACTGCCATACCCCCCACTGGACCCTCTTGACCGGCAGGGGGACAGGGAGATGGGATGGGCATTGCTGATACCCGCTGATCCACCTGAAACGTCAATGAAGAGGACAGGCAAAATGATGTAACTGAAAACTAGTGTTTGACAGGTTACTATAGTTGTTCTCAGCCTACACTCAGTGAAAATAGAACCCTTGAATAATCTCTGGAATCATGGAAATTGTCTACACTGAATTTAGTTTAAAGCTAGCTTTAAATCCACATTTCCAAATCCAGACCCATCGAGTCTAGTGTAAAAAAATAAATAATAAGCAAGGCATGCATTCCATACAGTACAGTACAGTACAGTACAGGGTATATGGATACAGCTTTTGCTTAACCCTCCTGTCCTTTAGAATGTACTAAGCGTGGGAGGATGTGGCCTGCTGCATACCCAGAGCTGCAGTCAGAGCCAGCCCAGCCAACACCCCGTTCAGCACCACATAGCCAGGCGATAGATGACTCAGCAGCACAGGTCAGGTCCATGGACAGTTCCCTGCTCCCTGCCTGCCACACAGCCTGCCTTTGGTCAGCTTGACCTTCCTCTGGAGAAAGTCCAGCGATCGATGCGGCCACAGCCCCACATAGAGCCAGGAGCATACTAATCATGCTAATCATTGATTAATTTGGCCATCAAAGACTCTGAGGTACAGAAGGACAATACAGTCTTTACAATTCTTACAGTAGCTACTGGCCACCATACCTGCCAAAACAAATTGTGGGAAACAAATCACACATTTTGGAAACTTAAAATCACGAAAAGGTTTAAAATTAAAATAATTTAATGCAACTACTGTTACTACTACTACTACTTACACTACGCTTACTATGACTGCTACTACTAATATGTATTAACACTATATATGACTGTAGTAAATTGGTCACCCATATAGTCTTACGGGGGAGCAGCCTGTCTTTGGTAAACCTGCCTGACAGGCCAGAGTCCTCCTCGCTGTTCTCCTCCTCCTCTGCTGCTTTCTCCAGGTTGCTAAGCAACTTGCTGCGTGTCCGGAAGTTCCGAAGCAGGTTGCGGTGTTCCTGGTAGGTGATGGGAGGGCTCTCTGGACCGATGTGTACTGGCCGTGGGGTGCCGTAGTAGTTCCCTGAGAGAGAACACGTGACAGGAGGAGGAGGTGTAAGAGAAAGTGAGTGAATAAGCCACAACGTTATTGTTAAAATCATATTGGTAGTGTTGGTCCTTAGTGCCAAGAAAGAATGGGGGAAAAAATAAATAAAATAAATGATTCTGAAAAGGGTAAGAGGTAAAGCAATTCAAAGTAGAGATGGAGATCCCAAACACACATTTGAAATGGCTATCATTATACGAAATCTAGAAAATACAGTAAATCCTAGATATTATGATGGAAGTGTTCCAGTGCAGTGCATACATCACATTGATTACCATCCACACTTAGGATCAGTAAAGTCTACTCTATTTTCTCCTTCAATTCTATCCTTCTGTTGTGGCAGCTATAGTACAAATCAAATTACTTAACTGTATTCCTCCAGCTTGTGCAGTCAGATCAGGGTAAGAAGAAACATTAGACTGATGTTGTACTCGTCAAGTACAACAACTCCACTGCAGCCTTGCCGATGCCTGATTCTAGAAGCCGTACGTCCGCCAATGTCACATGCGAGGCAAGGTGAAGATGGCATTTATTGCAACCATTAAACTCTTATGAATTATATATACTAATCCGGGGGTGCCTTTTTAATCAGAGAGAGCAGTCTAACTCTAACCCTCCTGGGGTGGAGAGAATGAAACCTGTAAAAGACCTGGTGTCATTAACTACATGGAAATAATAAGGCTTCCTCTGAGAAAATCTTTATATCTACCATGCATGAGAGCACCAGCAGTTCCGGACGACTGTGTGATCTCGCTCTCCTGAGTAAGACCTTTAAACATGTCAACATTCACAAGGCCACGGGGCCAGATGTATTACCAGGACGCGTACTAAGAGTATGCGCTGACCAGCTGGCGGGTGTCTACACTGACATTTTCAAAATCTCCCTGACCCAGTCTGTAATACGTACATGTTTCAAGTAGACCACCATAGTCCCTGTGCCCAAGAACACCAAGGTAACCTGTCTAAATAACTATTGCCCCGCAGCACTCACATCGGTAGCCATGTAATGCTTTGAAAGGCTGGTCATGGCTCACATCAACACCATCATCCCAGACACCCTGGACCCACTCCAATTCGCAAACCGCCCCAACAGCTCAGGACCCTGGGACTGACCACCTCCCTCTGCAACTGGATCATGGACTTCCTGACGGGCTTCCCCCAGGTGGTGAGGGTAAGCAACAACACATCCGCCACATTGACCCTCAACACGGAGGCCCCTCAGGGATGCGTGCTTATTCCCTTCCTGTACTCCCTGTTCACCCACGACTGCATGGCCGCTCACGACTCCAACACCATCATTAAGTTTGCTGACGACAAGGCAGTGGTAGGCCTGATCACCGACAATGATGAGACTGCCTATACAGAGGAGGTCAGTGACCTGGCAGTGTGGTGGCAGGACAACAACCTCTCCCTCAACGTGGGCAAAACAAAGGAGCTGATTGTGGACTATAGGTAATGGAGGGCCAAGCACGCCCCCATCCACATCGACAAGGCTGAAGTGGAGCGGGTCTAGAGCTTCCAGTTCCTTGGTGTCCACATCACTAAGGAATTAACATGGTCCAAACACACCAACACAGTCGTGAAGAAGGCATGACAATGCCTCTTCCCCCTCAGGAGGCTGAAAATATTTGGCATGGGCCCACAGATCCTCAAAAGGTTGTACAGCTGCAGCATTGAGAGCGTCTTGATTGGCTGCATCAGCGCTTGGTATGGCAACTGCTTGGCATCCGACTGCAAGGCACTACAGAGGGTAGTGCGTACGGACCAGTACATCACAGGGGCCTAGCTACCTGCCATCCAGGACTTCTATACCAGATGGAGTCAGAGGAAGGCCCTAAAAATGGTCAAAGACGCCAGCCCCCAAGTCATAGACTGTTCTCTCTGCTACCGCATGGCAAGCAGTACCGATGCACCAAATCTGGAACCAAAAGGACCCTGAACAGCTTTAACTGCCAAGCCATAAGAGTGCAAAATTGCTAACCAAAGAGCTACCTGGACTATCTACAGTTGAAGTCGGAAGTTTACATACACCTTAGCCAACTACATTTAAACTCAGTTTTTCACAATTCCTGACATTTAATCCTAGTAAACATTCCCTGTCTTAGGTCAGTTAGGATCACCACTTTATTTTAAGAATGTGAAATGTCAATAATAGTAGAGAAAATGATTTATTTCAGCTTTTATATATTTAATCACATTCCCAGTGGGTCAGAAGTTTACATACAGTCAATTAGTATTTGGTAGCATTGCCTTTAAATTGTTTAACTTGGGTCAAACGTTTCGGGTAGCCTTCCACAAGCTTCCCACAATAAGTTGGGTGAATTTTGGCCCATTCCTCCTGACAGAGCTGGTGTAACTGAGTCAGGTTTGTAGGCCTCCTTGCTCGCACACGCTTTTTCAGTTCTGCCCACACATTTTCTATAGGATTGAGGTCAGGGCTTTGTGATGGCCACTCCAATACCTTGACTTTGTTGTCCTTAAGCCATTTTGCCACAACTTTGGAAGTATGCTTGGGGTCATTGACCATTTGGAAGACCCATTTGCGACCAAGCTTTAACTTCCTGACTGATGTCTTGAGATGTTGCTTCAATATATTCACATAATTTTCCTTCCTCATGATGCCATCTATTTTGTGAAGTGCACCAGTCCCTCTTGCAGCAAAGCACCCCCACAGCATGATGCTGCCATCCCTGTGCTTCACGGCTGGGATGGTGTTCTTCGGCTTGCAAGCCACGCCTTTTTCCTCCAAACATAACGATGGTCATTATGGCCAAACAGTTCTATTTTTGTTTCATCAGACCAGAGGACATTTCTCCAAAAAGTACGATCTTTGTCCCCATGTGCAGTTGCAAACCGTAGTCTGGCTTTTTAATGGCGGTTTTGGAGCAGTGGCTTCTTCCTTGCTGAGCGGCCTTTCAGGTTATGTCGATATAGGACTCGTTTTACTGTGGATATAGATACTTTTGTACCTGTTTCCTCCAGCATCATCACAAGGTCCTTTGCTGTTGTTCTGGGATTGATTTGCACTTTTCATCTCTAGGAGACAGAACGCCTCTCCTTCCTGAGCGGTATGACGGCCGCGTGGTCCCATGGTGTTTATATTCGCGTACTATTGTTTGTACAGATGAACGTAGTACCTTCAGGCGTTTGGAAATTGCTCCCAAGGATGAACTAGACTTGTGGAGGTCTAACATTTTTGGCTGATTTCTTTAGATTTTCCCATGATGTCAAGCAAAGAGGCACTGAGTTTGAAGGTAGGCCTTGAAATACATCCACAGGTACACCTCCAATTGACTCAAATTATGTCAATTAGCCTATCAGAAGCTTCTAAAGCCATGACATCATTTTCTGGAATTTTCCAAGCTGTTTAAAGGCACAGTCAACTTAGTATATGTACACTTCTGACCCACTGGAATTGTGATACAGTGAATTATAAGTGAAATAATCTGTCTGTAAACAATTGTTGGAAAAATTACTTGTGTCATGCACAAAGTAGATGTCCTAACCGACTTGCCAAAACTATAGTTTGTTAACAAGAAATTTGTGGAGTGGTTGAAAAACGAGTTTTAATGACTCCAACCTAAGTGTATGTAAACTTTCGACTTCAACTGTAGATTGACCCTTTTTGCACTAACTCTTTTGACTCATCAAATACTCTGCTGCTACTGTTTATCATCTATCCTGTTGCCTAGTCACTTTACCCCTACCTATATGTACATATCTACCTCAATTACCTCGTACCCCTGAACATCGACTCGGTACTGGGACGTGTAAGCCAAGTTATGGTTACTCATTGTATATTTATTCCTTGTGTTATTATTTTTATATTTTTCTCTCTGCATTGTTGGGAAGGGCCCGTAAGTAAGCATTTCACTGTTAGTCTACACTTGTTGTATCCGAAGCATGTGACAAATAACATTTAATTTGATTTATTTGAGTGACATTCACCAGCCATGAGACTGCCTGGTAAGTGAGGCTGTGTGTATTGGTTTGTGGGTTAGTACTCTACCCCTATACTGTATATAAACTATCATCATTATCTATCTGCAATATACAACCTGTAGTGCATTGATCATGAAAGAATGTCTGTGAAATGACAATGCAGTTGGGGCCAGAGAGAGATGACTGAGTGAATGAATACCAACCTGGGCCTCTTCGCTGCTCACCTTTGAACTTGCCGCTCTCCAGCAGCGCTGCTGACTCCTCCAGAGAGAAGAATTCTTCTATGGAGACAAAGTTGTAGTCCACCCCTGATATCTCCCCATCACGGGGCAATCTGGTCGTGCCTGGAGAGGGGTAGGAGACAACAGACGAACAGAGCGTTACACACCCCAGTCTGTCTCCACAGTTCACTGTTACAACCTAATACATTAATATACTCCTAATGAAATTAAACAAAGTATTGAAACTGATACTGTATATAGCATTTGCAACTAGGATATGTAGACTCCAGCATTTCATATTATTTCATAGAGATGAAAGGGAGGTAGGTTCATTATTAAATCAACGCTTATTTTTGAGTTACATGTTACTTGTCAGCATGAGTGCAATTTGCTTGTAAACCTTTCTAAACAGGCCTGAGTCTGAAATGATTCCTTTCCAAACACAGCGGCGTGTATTCATGGATGCCAAGGGAAGCCAGGCTTCCCCAAAAGATTGACCAATACATTTAAAAGAAAATATATAATTATAATTAATAATTAATTTAACAATTTATCTTTCATCTCTATGTGTTTTATAATTTTCCTTCAATTCGCAAGAGGCTGAATGTATCTCACCGGTGTCACGCCCTGGCTCTGGGGACACTATTATGTTGAGCCAGGATGTGTATTCTATGTTTGTATTTCTATGTTGGCCTGAGTGACTCCCAATCAGAGGCAACGAGTGTCAGCTGGTTGTCTCTGATTGGGAGCCATATTTAACTGTCTGTCTTTCACTTTGTGTTTGTGGTTTCTTGTTCGTGTTGGTTTGTGTTTAAACCGTAGACGTCACGTTTTCGTTTGTTGTTTTGATCGTGTGATCATTAAATAAATATAAATATGTTCACCTTCAACGCTGCGCATTGGTCTCTCCCTGACTATCGTGACAGAAGAAACCACCAAAACTGGACCAAGCAGCGTGTCCAGGAGCCATTGCCTGGGGAATCGCTTGCAGATCTCCGTGGCAACCTCGACTGGGTCCAGCCTTGTAAAGAGCAGAGTGGATGGACTTGGGAACAGTGGAGGAAGAGTTTCGACTGGGTCAAGCCTAATGAAGAGCAGAATGGCTGGAGTTGGAGACAGAGGAGCGAGAGTTGGGCGAGAACGATAGAGGCCTGGCCCACGGGGAGGAGAGAACCCCAGAAATTTTTTAGGGGGGGGCTCACGACGTCGGGGCAGCAGGAGGCCGCGATAGAGCGGTCCAGCGGGTTGGCAGAGGAGGCCGCCAGGTTACGGGGGCCACTGGTCGAAGAGGGGATGGAAGGTGGAGAGGCACGGCGAGAGGTACTGGGGTGTGTTACCAGTCCGGTCCGGCCCGTTCCAGATCCCGGTGTAGGGCCAGTGGTGTGTGTCCCCAGTACGGTCCGGTCTGTTCCTGCTCCCCGCACCAAGTCTGTGGTGCGTTTCGTCAGCCCTGTCCGGCCCGTTCCTGCTCTCCGCACCAAGTCTGTGGTGCGCGTCGCCAGCCCAGTCCGGCCCATTCCTGCTCCCCGCACCAAGTCTGTGATGCGTCTCGTCAGCCCGGCTCGGCCCGTTCCTGCTCCCCGCTCCAAGTCAGTGGTGCGCTTCGTCAGCCCGGCTTGGCCCATTCCTGCTCCCCGCACCAAGTCTGTGGTGCGTTTTGTCAGCCCGGCTCGGCCCATTCCTGCTCCCCGCACCAAGTCTGTGGTGCGTTTCGTCAGCCCTGTCCGGCCCGTTCCTGCTCTCCGCACCAAGTCTGTGGTGCGCGTCGCCAGCCCAGTCCGGCCCATTCCTGCTCCCCGCACCAAGTCTGTGGTGCGTTTCGTCACCCCTGTCCGGCCCGTTCCTGCTCTCCGCACCAAGTCTGTGGTGCGCGTCGCCAGCCCAGTCCGGCCCATTCCTGCTCCCCGCACCAAGTCTGTGGTGCGTTTCGTCAGCCCTGTCCGGCCCGCTCCTGCTCCCCACACCAAGCCAGTGGTGTGCGTCGTCAGTCCAGCACGGCCCGTGCCTGTTCCCCACACCAAGCCAGTGGTGTGCGTCGTCAGTCCAGCACGGCCCGTGCCTGTTCCCCACACCAAGCCAGTGGTGTGCGTCGTCGGTCCAGCACGGCCCGTGCCTGTTCCACTGGTGCCTGGTCCGGCACCGGTCAGATGCGTTACGCCGGAGCTAGAGCAATCCGCTCCATCAGTGTGCAGTCCAGCTCCGGCCAGCGGGGCCAGACCGGACCAGGGGTACTTTGGGGGGTTGGAGAGGGAGTGGGGATCAGGCCCGGAGCCGGATCCGCCGCCAAGGCGGAGTGCCCACCCGGTCCCTCCCCTGTGGTATTTAGTTGCCGCGGTCGGAGTCCGCGCCTTTAGGGGGGGGTACTGTCACGCCCTGGCTCTGGGGACACTATTATGTTGAGCCAGGATGTGTATTCTATGTTTGTATTTCTATGTTGGCCTGAGTGACTCCCAATCAGAGGCAACGAGTGTCAGCTGGTTGTCTCTGATTGGGAGCCATATTTAACTGTCTGTCTTTCACTTTGTGTTTGTGGTTTCTTGTTCGTGTTGGTTTGTGTTTAAACCGTAGACGTCACGTTTTCGTTTGTTGTTTTGATCGTGTGATCATTAAATAAATATAAATATGTTCACCTTCAACGCTGCGCATTGGTCTCTCCCTGACGATCGTGACATCCGGAGAAAGCATCCGAGCGAACGAAACAACATCCCTCTGTCTCTGTATGTGTAGCCCATCTATCTGATGCTGTCTGGTCAAAAAGAGTATGACATTGTTGCCGCCCATAGCATTGAATGCAAGGGAAGCCAGCAAGCATTTGGCCTCCCTTGATAAAAAAAGTATAAAATAATAACATTTTACATTTTAGTCATTTAGCAGACGCTCTTATCCAGAGCGACTTACAGTTAGTGAGTGCATACATTTTTTAAATTTTTATACTGGAATCGAACCCACAACCCTGGCGTTGCAAATGCCATGCTCTACCAACTGAGCTACATCCCTGCCGGCCATTCCCTCCCCTACCCTGGACGACGCTGGGCCAATTGTGCGCCGCCCCTTGGGTCTCCCGGTCGCGGCCGGCTACGAACCAGGATCTCTAGTGACACAGCTAGCACTGCGATGCAGAGCCTTAGACCACTGCGCCACTCGGGATACGTAAAATATAAATGTATTATGTAAATGGTAATAAATATTGCCACAAGTAATTTATTTTCTGACAAAATGTTCACCCTATTAGGTGCATGTTCCACCATGTTAGGTGCATATGCCTAACAGGGTGGAACCTAACAGGGTGGAAATGTGGAGGCTAAATTAGCCTGCCACCGTCAGTGATCAAGATATCGCTAACATAAATGGTAAACAGTTGAAGAGAATACCAATCAGCATTGAGCTAAACTGAGTGAGCTCAACTGTGAATGGTCCTGGAGCTCCAAAATAACGTGTCAAGGGAAGCTAGTTTGGATTTGGCTTCACACCAATCACATCACAACAAAAGCCAAACGTAATTGACAGAAAAAAAATATTGTTGCATCTCATTCTGTTATTGTCCTCCGGTGGCTAGCTAGCTAGCAAAAATTGGCCCTTTCCTAAATTAGCCATGGACGGAGATAGGGATTTGGACTTGTGGTTTTACTTAATTCTCTGTCCTGGCCAATGATTATAACAGTGATTCTGATCCAACCATAAATTCATACTTTGTGCCCCTGGCCTGAGAGGATGGAAGTTCAGTATGTAGGTAGATGTAGCGCAGTGGTCTAAGGCACTGCATCGCAGTGTTAACTGTGCCACTAGAGATCCTGGTTCGAATCCAGGCTCTGTCGCAGCCGGCCGCGACCGGGAGACTCATGGGCGGCGCACAATTGGCCCAGCGTCGTCCAGGGTAGGGGAGGGAATGGCCGGCAGGGGTGTAGCTCAGTTGATAGAGCATGGCGTTTGCAACGCCAGGGTTGTGGGTTCGATTCCCACGGGGGGCCAGTATTTATATAAAAATATATATATTAAAAAAATATATATATATATATGTATTCACTAACTGTAAGTCGCTCTGGATAAGAGCGTCTGCTAAAATGACAAAAAAAAAAAAAAGGTAGTAAGCTAATGTTAACTAGCAGGCTCATCGTTGCCCATGAAACAAAGTTAGGCTAGCGAGCAAGCATTTTAGTCAGGACAACAAAAACTAAAAGTATGTAGCCTACTGTATGACAGAGTCATAGACCGTTTCGGCGACATGAACGAGAAGAGGATGGCATTGGCGTTTCTCTACAAGTAGGGTGAGTCAACATGTTTTTTCTACTTGCACGCACACACACACACTCAGAAATCAGTAGTCTACCACGGAGAGCCAGATCATAGTTAGCTTACGTTGATTGGACTAAATTGTTTTTGGTATCTTTTAATTGTCACTGTATTCGACTAAGCATAGGTGATTTGATGATGTTGAAATGTTGAAGTTGAAATGGTGCTGGAATAGTGGAGGCAGCTACGGTTTTCTTTGAAACTCGCAGTAACTCTCTGTGGTTCTTAATGAATGTTGTTTAATAGTCTGAAAATGTCGGAAACATTCACTTGATTGACCATGCCGTAGGTCATGTAACTGTATGTTACATGCATTATGCTTTGTGGACAGATGTTGCTCTCCGGTTTTGTGATGAAATAAAGGTGTGGTTGAATTTATTCTACCACAGTGTCTTCTTATTGTCTCAGCCTTAGGGCTATATATCACGGAGGCAAGGAATATGAACGAACAGGTTATAGAACAAACAATGCAATTATCACAACACATAGGTTGTAATATGGCTTTTTTTCCTGGCTTGGCATCCCCAGTGATATTACCCACACATCGCTACTGTCCAAACAGCAAGCGAAGGTCAAATCCTTGTCCTTTTCCTTGTCCTTCTGGAGGAACACACATATCATGGCAGAGTGGGGCCAGTAGGAGGACAAACCCAGTTACTCCATAAAACATATGATTAATGCACTGCTGTCTCACCATCAGGGAGGGCACAGCACTCCACACTACAATGACACACAGGAGAGAGCACACACAGACAGACAGACACACACACACACCTATCCTCTTTATACCCTGAGAGCCTGTTAAATACGTCCCAATCAGCAACAGAAGATGAGGCTCTGTCTCTAATGAAAAATTCAGATAGCAAATCTGATAGCAAAAGTGTGTGTGTGTGTGTGTGTGTGTGTGTGTGTGTGTGTGTGTGTGTGTGTGTGTGTGTGAAGGATGGGGCTGGGACTCATTACCCATGCCCTCCTCTGAGATATATAGGACATGTCAGCAGGAGATAGCTGGGATTATTGACATATTTCTCCATGCGTCTCCCCTCAGGCCCCCCACTGATCCCACTGGACCAGGGAGACAGGCAGAGAGAGGGAGAGAGATAGGAGGAGTGATTTGAGTAGAGGGGTAATTAAACAGCTTCTTATCAACACCAGAACTCGCCATCACTGGCCAACGTAACTAAATGGAAAATAACGTAAATAATCCGGTACAATGGCTTTTTTTCAATCTCTGAGTCATTTAGAATTCATGGAGGTCTTCCCTGACTTTGAATCATCCTATGTAAGGTCAAGGGCAGATACCATATACCAATGCACTGATGATGCCACTAGGGGTGGGGGGTTGGAGGACAAAGGCATAATACAAACAGTTCCTAGAAGAGTGCATCATACAGCATCTAGTTCCCAAATGAATCATGATAATGTTGTGTCGGTGTCATAACAACCCATAGAGACATTAGGTAGCCAGCTGTCTACTGCCCACCCTCCCCCCGGCACGACCGCATGCCTGCTTTTAATTTAATTCTGCCGCTAAATTATTGATAAATGACCTGCATTTACTTAATTCTGTTTAGCATTTAAATTTTTCATGTCATGCTCTTATGAGAGTCACTATGTAAACATTTTCCTTGCCAGTGGCAACAGAATGCAGAGTAGAGGACACAGTATGTTTTAAATGGTGAGGGGATTGAGATACTTTCAAAGCAAAATGCACATCAATTATTTTTCAGGTCCCCTATGAACAGAATACAAATTCAATACACTGATGATATCCACACACTCACTTCACTGTTCAAATAGAAATTAACACATTTATTTAGCATATCTTAAAAAAAATATTACAAACATGAGCCACTTATTTGAAAAGGCAAGACATCAAATTTGAATATAATATAATGCGACTTCACCCTATAAGCCCACTGTTGTAGCTAACTGTCAGTTTAGCCAAGATTTGCCACCTCATCTTAAAAACATTTTGATATGAGACAGTAAACCAGGCCTAATGGAGTAGATAAGAGGCTTTCAGAGCTGACTACGTTTACACACCATTCACTCCAGTCTGTGATCTACAGTTGGTAATTAGCTTCATTTAACTAAATAGTTTTAGGTTTGTATAAATAATGGAATGTTAGGAGGAACATAGCTCCTGAAGGGGGTGACACTGAGCCACTGTTGCGCTCTACTCCATAGGCTGAAGTTTTAGCCACATGCACTATGTCTTCTTCCACCATGAAAAACAAAACAAACAATAAGTATAAGGTCCAATAACAGAGTGTCATTTGAGTTGACTTGCTTACTTGTGTTTTTGCAAGTGAGCAAACTTGGATGGGTTTAAAAGTTGTTACAGTGTTTGTCTGTGTTAGGAGGGAGAGCAGCAGAAGCATCTTATTACTGTGTCATTCATCTCCTGCAGATCAGAGGATTACACAACCACGGGCTGAGCTTGCTGCCTCAATGTTACTCCAATTTACAGAGCCAGGCAGGAAGTTGTGTCACAAGTCTATCTCCACCCGGCTCTACCACCATAAATGCTGAGTATATTTATAGTACAGATGCAAAACATTTACAGACTAAGATCAAACTGATCCATCATCCTCCACCCTCATCTAGCTAATTACAAACTGGATAAATGGAATTGTTATGTAAAATGGTTTGGAGAATATGTGTGCCTGTGTGCCTGTTTTATGTGATGGTGTTCAAAGCTCAAAGACACAGAATGTCTTGTTGTTTTCTTACGTATTCTTGGGAGTTGTCACCTGCGCCTTGCACTTTCAACGAATCAGAGAGACACGTAGTCGAAGGGCTGACTGGTCTGGCAGACTGTTCCACATGACCTACTTCCTGGCTAAACGAGAGATTTGCGGCAAACTCCCCATCGCTGCTGGGCTGGCCAGGGTGGTCTGTGCCCAGCCCGCCAGGCAGACTAAGGACTGTGTAAGAGAGACAACATGACACAAGCCAAACCTATCAGACAGATATTACACCAGTCACTTCACAGAAATCCACACCATAGTCCTTTCCAGTCCACTCTCACTGTAACATCATTCTGGCCCTTAGAGAAAGGATTATTAAGACAGCAACAGATGCTCTATACTATATACCCAAGAGACTTTGTCAAATGTTTTAGATAACTTTAAGGGTAAAAATAGATTACACATCCGAAATAAAGAGAAAAGGGAATATGTTACCAAACAAGGAGAGACCAGACATGCATCTCTGTGAAATAGCATAAAATGAAGACCACCAATACAGGCCAGAGAGTATTCTAAGCGAAGGGGAGAAACTGCCACTCCGGATAAAGCTAACAGTGTAACAATACAGACAGTTGCCATGGAAATGTTTTTATCACCTAAACTTGTAATGTTTGGCTGATGAAGCCAGGGTGAAATTTTGAAATCTACACAACACATCTCCTATTTGCATACATTGTCACACAGATGTGGCAAAAACAGCTTCCCTGGGCTCTGATTGTGATTGCACACCAATTAAAACTGTTCTCGTGGTGAAAGCCATGTAGGTTTTCGCTGAATCTAAATTAATGTGTTAGATAAGGAACTTGTTGACGTGTTTAAATGTTGAGACGTGATGTCCAGCATATGTAATGTGCATCCTGATACGAATTCCTATTTCCATTTTTAAATGGAAACCTATAATGGACTTACATGTTACAGCTAAAAGGGGACTTACAGGGTACAGATACAGGGGCACAGCTAGGGGACTTACAACTATTTAGAAGGCATAGCTGCAAGGGACTTAAAGGGGATTTACAGGTTACAGCAACAGGGGACCGTAACGGGGCACAGCTAGAGGGAGAGGGCATAGCTACATGGGACTTACATGGCACGGCTCGGAGGTAGAGGTTCTCCCGGATGACCTGCTGAAGCTGGCTGTCCATGGATCCTGGAGTAAAACACTTACTCAGATACAACCTGAGCTCCTTACACAATACGGAGCCTGAGAGGGAGAGAGAGGAGAGAGAGAAAATAAAGGGGGGGGGGGGGGGGGGGGGGGGAGACGAAGACAGACAGAAAGAAATTGCAATATCAGCTCAACAGTCAAAAACTGATGAATTGTCTAAATATTTGTATACCCCGTCAAAAGGAGAGTGACATTCCCAGATAAAAATGAGACTATCGCTACAGTAGGTTTGATTTACCCCTATATCATTCCTACCCATAACTAATACACTATACACTCTTAGAAAAAAAAAGGAGCTATCTAGAACCTAAAATGGTTCTAGAACCTAAAGGGAACCTAACATGTAGGACCCTTTCCACAGAGGGTTCTACATGGAACCCAAACAGGTTTCTATGTGGAACCAAAAAGGGTTATTTGATGGGGACAGCCGAAGAACCCTTTTGGAACCCTTTTTTCTAAGAGTGTACATCTCCTTCTAAACACTTTATCAGCCATCCAGAGTGCATAATATGGCATTTCCCAGCCTCTCATGCATAAAGTAATAACATAGGCAGTGCTATGAAACACAACAGTGTGGTTCAGGCACTTATTCCCCTCTCTGATCTATTAATTTAATCTGAAGTGCTTTATGGCCTCTGATGACAGGTCAGTTGGTGTTATGGATGACCTGAGTACGTCTTCCTGCTTGTCACACTGACGGACGACTACCCTGCTCCTGCTGCTGCAGCTCCCCACCCCGTCTCTGGTACAGTGTCCTGTACTCTAGTCTGGCCCAGATATGAGTGCAGATTTAATCTGCTGTGCTGCTATTGAAACGTAATAAAACTTTATTAGCACAGGCAGTCTCCTACACACACGCATGACCCGCCACATATGGTCAGTATGACGTGCAGCTTTCTGGGAGTAATAATGAGAGGCTTTTGTTGGCATTGTGTAACAGCTGTCCAGCATTGTGATTTATTATGAATATAAAAACTACATCAGACTAATGATGTGGCATATACTGTAAGTAAAATGAACTAGAGTGCTTGCTTTCAAAGAGCCATGTTGTTTTCACAGAAACAACAGAATGATGCACATCCATGACCAATGCTTCTCCACAACACAACATGCCACATATCAATTAAGCAAAGTGTTTCCCTACACTGTACTTCAGCTCTCAAGGTTGTCATAAACAGTAATGATAGTGTCTGTCTGTCAAAAACATGAACAGTGTTGGTACAAGCCCTTTAATCCTCTTGTTTCAGGCAGATATAATGGAGGGATCATTTGCCACACTTATTTACTCTCACATCATATCATTAGCGGTATAAAGCCTGACAACACAATAGTGTCCCTGACGGCCTGAATTGTGTAGGAGGAGAAGGTGGAGGAGTATGCAGAGGAGGAGGAATAGTGGGAGGGGATGGGGAGGAGTGGGAGGAGGGAGAGGAGGAGGGGAGGGGAAGGGGGAGGAGTGGGAGGAGGAGGGGGAGGGGAAGGGGGAGGAGTGAGAGGAGGAGTGGGAGGAGGGAGAGGAGGAGGGGGAGGGGAAGGGGGAGGAAGAGTAGGCCTACAGTACATGTAGTACAGCAGCACAGAACAGCTCAACCCATCCATCTCTGTCCACAGTACATGCAGCCAGAATACCCAGGGAGAGAGGTTTGCCTGGCCGCCTGGCTCACAGAATGATAATGGATATACCAGCGGCAGAGGGCTCCATTTACAGTCCTGCTGGCGATTCAGACGTCAATCTACCCCAGCAAGGCGATGAGGAGCCTCGGTCAGGTGACATAGCAGTGACATATTGCTCTGTTCAGACCTAACAAAGACACCCCCCCACCCCTATAAATACCAAGGCCCCTCCAGGGTCACATCCACACAGCCTTCTCTGGACACTCTATCATGTGTCATCGGGAATTGTTACACTTCCCTCCCAGGCTCCTACACCAAAGACCCAATGTTTTGGGATCTCCATGCAAATTGAAAGGAACTTCAACACCAGAATGTTAAAAGTGTGTCAAGTTAGTTTTTTCAGTAACAGTGATTATTCAGCAATGTTTGGACAACCACTTGGATAGAGTGTTATTCTATGAGCTGCCTGAGGGAGGCAGTGTGACCAATCCCATAGTGTTATCATGTGAAGGAGGAGTTGGGGTTGACAACGCTGTTATGCATTTACTGTGTAACATGTTTGAATATGCAACAGGCACGAAAAACCAATTCCCTCTCAGACAAAGTCTATAACTCAATTTAGTTAAATCGGTTTAAGAGATTGACAAAGGAAGCAGCAGCATTCACAATGTGTCCCCAGACCAAGGAGTAAGTTACCACACTGAGCCATACAGCACCTGGTGAGACGGTCTTGATGCGAATGGGATGGGGGCAGGAGTTGAGGACCCCCCGGACATCTCCTAGTGTCATCCCTAACACAGGCGTTCCCCCAATCTCTAGGATTATGTCGCCCACTGTGAGCCCACCCCCAGGGGCTGCTGTGACGAATGGGAACTCTCCATAGTCAGCTCCACCGCCCACTGCCACGCCCAGATCCCCAGAGGAACCAACCATGGGGATGAAGGTATCCTGGACCTTGGAGCGCCAGTGCAGCTTCCTCACGGCTGCCTTAGACATGGCAAACGAGCTGATGAGGGGAGAGGGGGAGAGAGGGGGTGGAGGGGGAGTTAGGCAGGAAGAGAGAGAGGGGATAGAGAAAGAGAATGAGAAAGAGAGAGAGAGAGAGAGAGAGAGAGAGAGAGAGAGAGAGAGAGAGAGAGAGAGAGAGAGAGAGAGAGAGAGAGAGAGAGAGAGAGAGAGAGAGAGAAGACAGTGACACTCACACAATCATGTTAAGGTGTGATTTCATGTCTTTAGGCTTAGGATTTAATTGCCCTGAAATAGTTTTTAACACAGAAGTTTCCCAAGGTACTGTGGAGAAAATGTAAAGAACATAGCATGCATCTGATAGAAAATAATTGCAGTAAAGTTAAACTATTCCCTCCTTTAGAACAGAGGACCTGCATGTGAAGCAGACTGACATGGAAACTGTGTTTGTGTGTTATACAAATACTGTGTATGTGGTGTTTGACAGTGGGTTGAACCAAAATACAGTAAACAAACTGTCACACTCAGATGAACAGGTCAATACTGACGCTGCTATACCTCACTGACATATTGTATATAGCATTAACATAAACACACGCAACATACCTGTAGTTATATTCCCAGCATGGCAGTCTGATGGAAATATCTAGTCTGGTGTCAGTAAGACCAGATAAGGTACTGTAAATTAATACTCATTATTGATAGGGGTAATTTGATACAAAATACACTATTTCATATAAATTGACAGTAAAGTGTTGTTATTTTAATGATTCCAGTGAGGCATCATCGTGATTGTGCCTCCTTCATACCCACTACAAATTGCACTTAAAATGATATGCATCTAAATTTATAAATCATCTTGTCAGACATGAATAATGAAGACTATTCCATGTTCACTGAACCTCCTGCTGAGGTAACGTCTGCTTTAGAGTCACATATCGTAACCTATGGAAATGAGTATGCACTGCAGTCAAAACATTGCTGTTCATAGGACATGTTGTACTGTAGGCTATGTAAATGACATGATTCACCACTGTCTAGAATTCCAAAATAACAAAATTGTAAGTTGAGTGTGATGCCTCTTCCAACAGTTGACTTTTAAAGGTCTTTGTTGAGAGCCAGTGAAGTGACAGGTGGGCGGCTCAGAGAGAGGGCAGGTGCTCCTACACCGTGACAGAGAGAGTGCCTTGGTCTGACAGGACTGGAGCAGCTCTGTCACACGGTTACACAGGACACAAACTGATCTTAGAGACAGAGTGAGGGTCGCACTAAACAAAACACAGGGACGGGTGGGGTGGGTGCATGGATGAGAGACTTTGTGAGACAGTCAAACATAAAGATGGATTCTAAATGAGATACACGACACTGAGAGACTGACATATAATGAAAGGCAGGAATAATAGGAATATAGGAAGGAAAACTCCACAGATCCACCATGTAATGTTTAAGGGGGAGGGGGAGAGAGAGGGGAGGGAGAGCTGGAGATAGAGCGAGAGGGGTTGTGGGGAGAGAGAGGGAGGGAGAGGGGGAGAGGGAATAAAAAAGAGAATGGGGAGAGAGCGAGAGAGAGAGAGGCACTACACAGCCTGGGGTTGGCAATGAAGTCGCTGGTTTGACCTTGCAGGGCGACAGGAGCCAGAGCTTGGTTACAGTCTGGCCTGCTCCATGGGGGAAAATAACATCCATTTTATTCAAATCATCTCTATGCTTCTGTTGGTCCAGAGCCAAGTGAGTCTGTGAATTTAATTGTCATGAGTAGGTGCTGTTTCTGGATTTGTTTTTAGAAATTATGATTATTTCTTCATTTATTCCTAATTGTCCTCTCTGTGCCCTCACTCTCTCTCTCTTTCTGACATGCTGAGAGACCTTCTGCAGCTGAAATTCTATCTCCCAACCATCCATCCTTCCACCCACACACAGAGTACACACAAAGACAGAGTAACACAATGTAACACTCTGGCTCCGGGACTTTTGGATTTGAGCCAGGGTGTATTTGTTTTGTTGGGTATTTGTTGTGGGGTTGGTTGTAAGGGTGTATTCGGTTGGTTGTGTTTTGGGTGTATTTCTATGTTGGTAGTTCTGTTGTGTGTATTTCTAGGTTTGGTCATTGACTCCCAATCGGAGGTAACGAGTGTCAGCTGTCGGCTCGTTATCTCTGATTGGGAGCCATATTTATTCTGTATGTTTTCTTGTGGGCATTGTGGGTTATTGTTCCTGTTTAGTCTTTGTCACTATTGGACTTCACATTCGTCGCTTTGATTTGTTGTTTTTGGTTGCTTTAAGTAAATAAAGTCAACATGTTCTTTTCACTCGCTGCGCCTTGGTCTCCTTCACTCCTCGACGACCGTGACAGAATAACCCACCACAAAAAGACTAAGCAGCGTGTCAAGCGGCAACAGGACCTACCTACACAGGATTTATGGACTCCCATAAAGGATTCATGGACATGGGAGGAGATTCTGGATGGTAAGGGGCCTTGGGCACAACCGGGAGAATATCGCCGTCCTCGTGAGGAGCTGGAGGCAGCTAAAGCCGAGAGGCGGCGATATGAGGAGGCAGCACGTAGGCAAGACTGGAAGCCTGTGGGTACTACCCAAGAATTTCTTGGGGGGGGGGCTAAGAGGGAGTGTGGCGAAGTCAGGTAGGAGACCTGCGCCTACTCTCTGGACTGACCGTGGAGAGCGAGAGTACGGGCAGACACCGTGTTACGCAGTTGAGCGCATGGTGTCTCCTGTACGCAGGCATAGCCCGGTTCGGTACAGTCCAGCTCCACGTATCGGCCGGGCCAGATTGAGTGTTGAGCCGGATGTCATGAAGCCGGTCCCACGCAGCAGGTCACCAGTGCGTCTCCTCGGGCCGGCGTACATGGCACCAGCCTTACGCATGGTGTTCCCGGTTCGCCCACATAGGCCGGTGCGGGTTATTCCACCTCCCCGTACTGGTCGGGCGACGGGGAGCATCAACCCAGGTAAGGTTGGGCAGGCTCAGTGCTCAAGGGAGCCAGTACGCCTGCACGGTCCGGTATTTCCGGCGCCACCCCCTCGCTCCAGCCCAGTACCACCAGTACCTACACCTCGCACCAGGTTTCCTGTGCGTCTTCAGAGCCCGGTGTCTCCTCCACGCACTGGCTCGATGGTGCGTGTCTCCAGCCCTTTACCACCAGTGCATACACCACGCACCAAGCCTCCTGTGTGTCCCCAGAGTCCTGTGCGTCCTGTTGCTGCTTCCCGCACTAGCCCTGAGATGCGTGTCCTCAGCCCGGTACCTCCAGTTCCGGCACCACGCATCAGGCCTACGGTGCGTCCCCAGGGCCAAGCATGCCCTGTTGCTTCTCCCCGCACTAGCCCTGAGATGCGTGTCCTCAGCCCGGTACCTCCTGTTCCGGCACCACGCACCAGGCCTACGATGCGCCTCAGACGGCCAGAGTCTGCCGTCTGCCCAACGGGGCCTGAACTGTCCGTCTGCCCAACGCCGTCTGAAATGTCCGTCTGCCCAACGGCGCCTGAACTGCCCGTCTGCCCAACGCCGTCTGAACTGTCCGTCTGCCAAGCGCCGCAGGAACTGCCCGTCTGTACTGAGCCTGCAAAGCCGCCCGTCTGCCATGAGCCTTCAGAGCCGTCCGCCAGACCGGAGCCGCTAGAGCTCTCCGCCAGACAGGAGCAGCCAGAGCCTTCCGCCAGACAGGATCAGCCAGAGCCTTCCGCCAGACAGGATCAGCCAGAGCCGTCCGCCAGACAGGATCAGCCAGAGCCGTCCGCCAGACAGGATCAGCCAGAGCCTTCCGCCAGACAGGATCAGCCAGAGCCTTCCGCCAGACAGGATCAGCCAGAGCCTTCCGCCAGACAGGATCAGCCAGAGCCTTCCGCCAGACAGGATCAGCCAGAGCCTTCCGCCAGCCAGGATCCGCCAGAGCCGTCCAGCCGGGATCAGCCAGAGCCTTCCGCCAGCCAGGATCCGCCAGAGCCGTCCAGCCAGGATCCGCCAGAGCCGTCCAGCCAGGATCCGCCAGAACCAGCTAGTCAGGTACTGCCCCTTAGTCCGGTGCTGCCCCTTAGTCCGGTGCTGCCCCTTAGTCCGGTGCCGCCCCTTAATCCAGTGGGGTTTAATTGGGGGGTGGTCATGTGGAGGAGGCTAGGGAAGCGGGTGGTGACTAAGGTGGGGTGGGGACCACGACCAGGGCCAGAACCGCCACCGTGGACAGACGCCCACCCAGACCCTCCCCGAGACTGTATGCTGGTGCGCCCGGAGTGCGCACCTTTAGGGGGGGGTACTGTAACACTCTGGCTCCGGGACTTTTGGATTTGAGCCAGGGTGTATTTGTTTTGTTGGGTATTTGTTGTGGGGTTGGTTGTAAGGGTGTATTCGGTTGGTTGTGTTTTGGGTGTATTTCTATGTTGGTAGTTCTGTTGTGTGTATTTCTAGGTTTGGTCATTGACTCCCAATCGGAGGTAACGTGTGTCAGCTGTCGGCTCGTTATCTCTGATTGGGAGCCATATTTATTCTGTATGTTTTCTTGTGGGCATTGTGGGTTATTGTTCCTGTTTAGTCTTTGTCACTATTGGACTTCACATTCGTCGCTTTGATTTGTTGTTTTTGGTTGCTTTAAGTAAATAAAGTCAACATGTTCTTTTCACTCGCTGCGCCTTGGTCTCCTTCACTCCTCGACGACCGTGACACACAACCAATAAAACACATGCACCAAATACAGAATGAACACAAAAAGAGGCAGTCAGGCCATCAAATACCGAATGAAAATAATAACGTACACAACAAATTGTATTAACATCGACATATGTGAACTTTACATCTTGCTAAGAGCATTACCCTGACTCCATTGTGTTTTAATACAAGTTCAATAAGCTTTGAGATCCCAAGTGCTTTATCTAAAGATGTTCATCTTCTGAGCTATACATGCTCATGCTAAAAATACCAACTATTTCCAGATTTATTATCCTATCCTATCATGT